TGGGTGTCGGACATCAAAGAGCTCTGTGGGCCCTGGTCCCTGCCGTCTAACGATCGCATCAACCAGGCCGGAACCAGCATCTGGGAAGCCAGATCCAAGGCGGTCTTCCTCCGAAAGTTCATGCTGTCCACATGCGCCCCAGCAGTCAGCAACGCTGATGCAGCCTGCAGGTATCCGCTCAGGATGCTAAACATGAGCGGCGTGGCGCCGTAATGATGATAGGCCAAGCAGGTGAGCCTTGAGGGGCTCACCCGGTGCCGGATGCTGGTGAGATTTAAAAGTAGCCACCAGCCTGGCTCCTTTAGGCGAATTCGGAACTGCTCGTTCACATCTGCCCGGGCTCGGATCAACTCGGTGATGATCTCGGGCGATCCCCCTCCGCTGAACATCAAGGCGAAATGTAGGCTGTGCCGCAAGCTCAACTCCGGCACTTGCGCAAGGATCTCCTTCATGGACTGCAGGCTGCCACAAGCGCAGCTCACCTGAAGCTGCAAGATAACTTGTCATTTCAAAACCCCGTTCAACTGCTGAGATCCTCAGGGTCATGAACATGGCCGGCCTAGCTAGGCAGAGGCAGGGCCGCTGACAGACTAAACACGTGGCGAAGGACCATCTTTCTCCAATGTCCATCTCCCTAGAGGCCCTAGATTAGCTTTAGCTCAGCTTCCAGAAGCGGATGGCCTGGAACGGGTTCAGGCCGGGAAGGCATTTCTGCTGCGGATTGGCGCGAGCCGAGATCAGCAATTGCACAGCCACAGCATTGTCAGCAGCACAGGCCTCAGTCGGTCGGTCGTGGGCTTTTGAAATCCTCTTTTGCAGCGATGCGCCATCGATTATTTCCGATCGTTGAATGAAGGCTGATTACGATTGTGTCATCGACAATGTATCCGGCACATTACCATGCTTGTGATGGGCACAGCTTTGTCACTACGGCTGTTATTGCTCCTGCGATTACGACTGCTACTACCGCTGCGCCTGCAGCCACCCCTGCAACTGCTACCACTGCGGCCCCTAATGTTGGCACGGCTGCTGCTGCTCTGCTGAAGCCACCTTACTGTAACAATAGAGAGAAGAAGAGTGATAATAAGAATACGAACAAGAATGATGTTCTCACGTTTTATTACTGTTGTGAGTACTGGCATCGAAAGTATTGAAGCAATCACGTTCATCAAATGCCTCCTGTCTGCATTAACACTGTTACATGACGTTGGCTCGCATGACCAGTAGTAGGTCTACCGTTTTCTTTTGCATGCTTTGATCATCGGCATTGCCTCTGCATGTCCTACCCTTTCTCCTGCAATCACTATCCGTGATTGGTAGATGTGGCTCTACATCGGTGTACTTTTGCTACTGTGGCGTCTTATTGGTCACCGCAACCCGAATATTCCGAATGTGGCGCCCGTCTGATAGAAAGGTGAGTGCGAATGTGCGCGTATTATGAGTTGCGCACTGATGCTGCGACGGCTCTATGTCCATGACTGCCGCACTTGTACGGAAAGCCCATGCTCTGATCATGCCGCTGACCGCTGGTTCAGACCGCCACAACTGCTAAAATCATGCTCTGCCGATGTATGGTAATGCTGTGCATCAGGGAAGTCAATGCCTCCGAGCGGCAAAGTGCAGAGAATTGCCAAAGTTTTCGTCAAGTGCATTTGGAGAAGCTCTTGCAGACAACAGAACCTCCACGGCCTCGTTGTTACGAAAAAAGGCCGCGATGGCCACAACGCTGCTCTTCCTAGGCAGCTGTTCCTGATGTGGGATAAACCCGAAGCTTGCCCTAAATCCTCACCCGCCGGTACTAACCCCCAAGACCCTGAAACCGGAACCCCGCCCGCCTTGATCCTTGCCTTTGCCGTCATGTCGTTAGGATCGGCCCGGTAGCGCAAGAGAGACTTGATCGTCAGAGGATCACCATTTAACGCGGCGAAGCACAGCGGAGACCATCCCTTCTCATCGCGCTCGGAGACTCCCCGAAAGCCGTTCTGATGAAGGAACCACTCCAGCAGAAATTTGTCGGGCTCCCGGAACGCATCGGCCTGGACTCCACTGGGTGGAATGAAGCTTTCAATAGGCACGACATCAAGTCCTCGAAAAAATCGAGCTCTCTGAGAGTTTGACAGGAACCGATAGTTGTGCAAGTCACCTTTCTCGAGATAGTACAGCAGCTTGTCCCAAATCATGCGAACCATCATACGGCCAACCCTAACCTTGTCCTGCTCCACAGTGAAGTCTCCTTCGCCAGGTGCTTCCAACATCCTGTTTCCAAGCCACACCAGTGTTTGGTGCACGGCACTTTCAATGACGATGATGTACCCATCTTCTCGCGCGGCAAGTTCTCGTGCAACCCGCTCACAGCGACACCACCCCCGCAAGGCCCAGCTCGACTGACTAAGGGTACGACTTTGGTCGACGTGCTTGAGAGCAGGACACAAGATCACGAAGAAGTAGCATTGTGACACATAGGTGGGAATGCTGTCAATGGCCGCCTGGCGGTGCAGGGATGCTGCATTCGAGCTGTGCTGCGGGCAGCAGAAGTAGTCGTACCAGATGTAGAGGTCGACACCCACACTGTCAGCACGCGGAAGCTGCAGTCTACCGAACATGATTTCTGTTGCAACTGGGACGCAAATATTGCTGCTGCCTGATGCGATGTTCCTCAACGCCTGTTGTAATATCTGAAGCTGCTCCGCATTTGGATCGGGATGCCGATTACTAAGCCACTCATGGGACACGAACATGGCTTGGCCAAGATCTGTGCTGAACTCCACAAGGGCACCAACTTGAAGCATCTCTTCGTGAGTCTTCAGATGTTTCATCTGCAGCAGAAATTCCGCTGGCACAGTGTACATCGGAAATGAGACGTGGTCCAAAAACGATCTGTTGCTCGGGTTTGCACGCAGCGAAGCGGCGAACCTGGCCAAATCCGTGGCCATTGCTCCAGAATTTCTGAACGAAAATGACAGCCACGATGTCACCGGCTGGCCGGCACGAGGCCCGGCCCTCTCTTGAGCCGCCCTTGAGCTTAATGGAACTTCACAGCACGTCAAGCCCTTTCAGTGCACGTGACGCCCTTTTGATTGGCAAAAGACAAACCATTGTACAGTGCCCTCTCTTCAAAAGTCGGGCATTGGAACATATCCAGTTATTTGTACTTGGTGACATGAAGGCATAGTGCCGGAATATCCTTTTGCCTGCGCAGGACTGCTCAAGTGCGATCTTTGCTGTGGCAGACGAAACAACAGCCCCTAGACTACTGCTTCTGGACTTAAACAGCCGCCTTTCGCGACAAGTTGTTGCTTATTCTGTCCTCCAAGCGCCCGAGGCTGCTATGCCCGGCACTGGTATCAGATCGACACGAAGTCGAGCAGAGACGTCACGTTTGCGTGGCGATTGGCTTGGGCCAGTTCCTCCGGAAGGCTGCCCATGTCATTTGGGGCACTCCGTGCACCCAAATCTAAAAATAAACCGGTGAGCGTCTCATCACCGGCCAAGGCAGCAGCGCCTAAGGGCGTGATGCCAGGCAAGCTGGCCAAACAGCGAGCTTTCGATCCACAGGCCGACAGGCCCCAAATAGCGGTTTGGGCTTTCATGGCCCGAGCAATCCAGGACAAAGGCCCGGACATGCGGGCCGTCGCATTCAGGTCGCCCTGCGCTTTCACCAGCAGATGGACAATCTCCACAGCATCTGCGCGACCCCTCGAGAAGAGGGCAACCGCATGCAAGGGGCTCCAGCCACAACCCTGCATTGGAGGATTCGGATCACTTCTTGCCTCCAAGAGAGCTGAAACTACCTCAGCAGCTGCGAACCCAGCCGCCGACGTCAGCGGGGTCATGCCAATGGGCATAGCGACCGAATGGAAGTCAACGCCAGCATCCTTGAGAACTCGGAACTGTTCGGAGCTTCGGGCAACATGGGCAGCACAGGCCCCGGACATCGGCACCCGATAATTCACATCCGCCCGGAGCTTCAGTAGAGTGGAGAGCATCTCAGGATCTTGATTCGATCTCGTTGCAACCGTGAGAGGGGACATGCCATCAAAGTAGCCCAGGTCAGAGAGCCCGCGGATGCTGCTGTTCACATCTGCTCGGGCTTCCACCAGCGCCGTCAAAACTTCAGAATCCCCTGCGAAGACGGCACAAAGCACGCCTGTCATAACGCCTTCACCGGCTGCTGCCTCCAGGTCATCGAAATGAAACTGATTGAGGAAGTCCTGAGCCAGTCAGAGCTAATTGCGAGCACATGCAAGCCCTGTCCTTCCCTCCCAGAAATTTCGACTCCTGCAACTGCCAGCGATGCCGCGGCCTCCCGAGAAGCCAGTGACGATGAGCCAAGAAGAAACGGTAGACGTCCTTGTGCCCGGACTGCCGGAGCTGCCTGGGATGCGGCTTCTTGGCAGAGACGGCACAGCTTCTTTGTCACAAAAGAAGACACGGCTTTACCGCTTGCTTCAAAAGCACCGCAACTTCCCCTCCGCCGCCGCCTCGCCGAGACTCACCACTCGGCCACGGTCCGCCTCGACGGTGAAGACCCCGTCGGCGATGGTGTTGTGCTGCCAGTCCAGCTGGAACATGAACTCCAGCTCCTCGAGGCACGGCAAACGAAGGGGCACCCAAAGCGGCGCACAGAATCGCGCAGTGCAGAGAGACAGCTGCGGAAGCATCCCTTCCCGTCCATCTGCCTCTGCAGAATATACGACCACGACGCCTCGGCTGCGGTCGCTGCACAAGCATTTCGACTCCATTCCCATGCGAGCAGACCCAGACAATCACAGGGCTTCCTGCTGCGATGTGGGCACATTTCATATAATCTGTGTGGGTATAGATCTCTATACACACATACTCACATGCATACATACATACATACATACATACATACATACATACATACATGCATGCATACATACCTACAGACATATGTACATAATACACAAAATCTATGTGTATATATATATATATATAATCGTTATTTGTGTATGTGTGAGTGTATGTATGTATGTATGTATGTATGTATGTATGTATGTGTGTATGTATATATATATGTGTGTGTGTATGTGTATGTATATATATATATATATTGCATACGTTCGTTACACAATGTGTGGAAACTTCGGCTTCCGGGCGAAACCTCGCGAAGCCGGGCCGCTGGTGTCGGTTTTCGCCGAGAGGAGGCGGCACCAGAGCTCGGCCCGACACCAACCCCTCGACAGCAAGGTTTAGGGTTTAGGGTTTAGAGTTTAGGGTTTAGGGTTTGGGGTTTAGGGTTTGGGGTTTAGGGTTTTGGGTTTAGGGTTTCTAGGCCCTGTTCCTGCTGGGATCACAGAAATCCTGGGTAGATGGCCTAGACCCAAACTTCTGAATACAGAAAACACAAGCCCTCTTCCTTGCAAGCAGTAGACACTCCGCGTACAAGCAGTAACGGTCGGAACCTGAAGTCCTTGAAAAAATGAAGCTTAACTCAGAACCCTTCTTCTTGAGCTATTCTACCAATGCTTAAACTGGGCTGTCCAATTGTCCACCTATCTACCCTCTCCTGCTCTCTTTCTTTCGGCAGGGTTATGGGCAAGAGGGTTGCCCCTGCTCTCTCTCGCTCTCTCTCCCACCCCTCCAAGGCCAAGCTGGGCTCGGTCCTTTGCGTCCGCAATGGGGAGCTTTTCAACGACAAATCCCTCAGAAACTGCACGTCTACCGAGTGCGCCCCGGAAAAAAACGGAGTGCGAAGGGCATAGATGGGCTGCATATCACCGGTTCCGCCTCGCCTTATTCCCGCCGCGGCCTCTGTGGGCGCCAACGTCAGACAGGCTGCCGCAGCAAATACAAGCCACCCCTCGAAAGCCGTCCTCTCTCTCTCACACACACCCCCGCATGCATGCACACGCTGCTGCCTCCTGTTACCCTGAGTACTAGCGGCACTGCTAATTTTAACCCATACTTCCGTTTTGACTCGTGCAAGTGACACCTTTGTTGCGATCGTCATTGCTTCTGCAGCCACTACTACCCGTTCTACCACTACAACTATCCCTGCCATACCTCTACTACCACTACTATCATTGCTTTCACTGCTCAAACGCTAGAACGCATTACTGCCACTACTGCTGCTGTTGCTGCTGCTGCAGAATTGTGCAAGCCGTAAACATGAAGAAGCCCTTCTGAAACCTCGTAGTCTCGCACCTTTGAGCCCCAAGACCCTAAACCGTAAACCCAAAGGCTATCCCTCGGTCCATGAAGCACCCTCGCACCTCGAGAGCCAGGATGCGTAGTTACACAGTCTGCCTGGAAAAGCTAGGGTTTAGGGTTGAGGGTTTGGGGGTTTGGGGTTAGCTTGTTGCTCATCTAGCTTCTATTTGATGTGACACCCTAATCAGCATGCAGAGGCAATGAATCCTGACAAAGACCATACTTTGCTACGAACTTCGAGGGCGTGAGACATTTCTTTGGAGCAGGGGAAGCTTCACGGCTGTTGGGATTTGGGGCTCGGGGACTTGAGGGAGCTCGCCTTCAAACACGACCCCGAAACCCGGGCAAGACGAAACGAAACTGCCTGCGACTTCAGGGTTTTGTGGAAGCGTCTGATCCAGGCCTGTGTCTTTGTGCCTCAGTTCGGGGGCGAGGACGAAGAACAGGTCGCATGCCTAAGGCACTCCGAGCGCCGGAGCCAGGCGAGATGGAGCCCAAACTATTACTATGCTATACTATTACTATACTATTACTATACTATTACTATACTATTGCTATACTATTGCTATACTTTTGCTATACTATTACTATACTAGTACTATACTATTACTATAATATTACTATACTATTACTATACCATTACTATACTATTACTATACTATACTATGCCATAATGTACTATACTATACTATACTGTACTGCACTGTACTATACTATACTATACTATCCTTTACTATACTATACTAAGAGGGACACCTCTGACCGGGACTCATAAGGGTGCGTACCTCCAGCTTAGCAGGAGAGCTGAAGACCGAAGCCTGAAAAGTCGCATCCTGGTTTAGAGGACGATGTTAGCGGCTTCTACCGCGGACGTCCAACACCCAAACATCCGAAAACATGACAAAGGTGAGTGTACTCGACAGCACTGCTGGCGGCTCGCTGGTCCACTCTTTATTGGCCTGTGCTGACAGACCCCTTAGACCTTAATCTAGTAGTAGCAGCAGCAGTAACAGTAGCAAGCCATAGTAACGGCAACAGCAAGTGCGCTAGTACGTAATGGTACAGTAGTCGTCGTCGTCGTCGTCGTAGCAGTAGCAGCCATAGCCTCGGCAATAGCAGTAGCAGCAGCAGGAGCAGCAGCAGGAGCAGCAGCAGCAGCAGCAGTAGCAGAAGCAGAAGCAAGCGCAGTTCATCGTAGTAGCGTAGTAGCGACGGCAGCAGTAGACAACGTCGCCTTAGTACTTCCAGCTCTCATGATAAGAGCAATACTTTGGCATGCTTCAGACGTCCCGATTGATCACATTCCTGGCCTGTCTAGGAACGATGCAGCACTGAGCTTCATGCCTCCACGTAGAAAGGAATGCTGCGAACCGCCATCGTCGTGCTACACGATTCGTCGTCACAGCTGTCCGACTCTCTTGCAATAATCTGCAGGCAGTCAGGGAAAGTGGCACAGCTACGTTACGCTGTACTTCGAAAAACAAATATCCGGAACAGTTCTTGTTTGCTTGAGAAGTTATGTTCCTCCCCATTTCCGGTGCGATTGTCTAGACTGCGCTCATCTGAGACTTTCTGTTGAGGTTGCTTGTTCGGTACAAAGTGTTTTCGTCGTGCCCCGCGCCTCAGGTATTGAAAACCAGTCCAAAAAGATGAAACCGTTCTCCAACCGCTTGGCCATGTCTGCAGACCAATGCGGTAGCTGGCCATGCATCATACTCGGCAGGTTGCACTCCACTGACACTGAACCCTTTGTCAGTTTCAACAGCGACTCTCGGAGAATATTAAGCTGTGAACCTTCCGGGTCGGGGTGAAGTCGCCCCAACCACTGGTGAGACAAAAATATTGAAAACATACCTGGCTGCCATGAATGCAAAAGGCCTCTATTCAAAAGGTCTGTGTGTGATGGAGCTGGCATTTCCATGGTAAGCAGATCCGTGATTTTGACCACATAGAGCGGGAAGAATTGCGGATGCACAAACATTGTTGCATCGCCAGCGGATGGAGTGCTTCCATCACCTGCCAGGTAACTCAGCGGACTCTGCAGCATGCGATCTAGTTCAGCAGTTCGAAAGTGTTAAAATGCCGAGCAACCTTGACTTGCAGAGCAACGGCTTCCCATTGCCAACTTTCACACTGAAGGCGTTGGAAAGCAACGAAACAATGGGATTCAATCTAAAGTCTAGAATGAAGATTCACCATTAACCATCCGCTTGAACAGAGATGACACGGATGCCTCGAAAATGTGTCAAAAGCCCAATCAAAAGATGTTTGAAAAAAAACAAACTATATCAGGCAAAATCACATGGGAAATATGCTGCAAAGCAACCTGCCGCCAAGCACTTGCCCCTCTAGCACTGTCCGAAACATGGTACTTCTGACTGCCATACCCAACACTTGGGAAAGCATGCTTTGAACTACGATCACATGAGTTGGTAATCCTTGACTAGGTCACTCACAAAATTTATCTGGCAAACCGTCGGCTTCAAACAGGTGTATATTAAAGACAATCCCAACCAACTGCACCGTTTCCTTCCAATGCGAAAATCTTCACGTATACCCGACCGTGATCGCGCGAACTATTCGTTCTTGGGTCACACGGATTGAATCTCGACAATTCTCCCTTGCAAAATACACCGAAAACCTGTCGAAGACGCAGCAACGTTGAATTCTCTGATTTGTCCAATCTACAAATAGTTCAATCGCATAAGGAAACGAAGTTGTCACGAAAACACTTCTATAATGCTGATACATTCAAGAAATCATCACTATGTATACATTAAGATAAAGCGCCTGTTTCAAAGTCAAATTTGAGCCGGAATTGTTATTCGAACTGACCCACCAACTCGAACGAAAACTAATTTCAACGTAAGACAAAAGACTCCTGTAATTTGGTGTGGTAAAGCACCTTTCTTAGATGATCTTTAACAAGCAGGACGAAAATTGAAACAATGTTTGTGCTTGACCCAACACTTACCCAAACATGTAGTACAGAATGATACAGCTTCACAAGTCGACAGTCGCACAGTTCGGACATATCACTCTTCCTTCGGAAGCACGGGAGCACACAGTAAGTGCGCGGGTGTGTTCATTCAGCTACTTCTTAAGAACAGTTTTTACTTGCAGTGCAAGATTGAGGTGCTGTAGTCGTACTAGCGAAAAGTTTAGACCCACGGGGTAAAAACTTAGAGACGGTGCACTGCCTCGACAGGCCACGGGGTGCACACCTCCAAGACTCCTGGACCTTAGGGTCCTACGAGTTCTAAATAAACAAACATGGTATCTCTAGTCTCTAGCCACAAAGTGCATAACACTCGCTTCGCAATTTGTTTCGTCGTTTCGTGACTACAACAAACTTCGCAGAGAAAGTAGACTCTATTTCTTTTGGCGGAAGCAATCCCAAAGCCGAGAAAGCTGAGTCGACGAGCTATGTGCGAAAATGACGCAACTACAGTTCCTTGAGCATCAAGCGAACGAATTCGCTCAATTGCGCACGTCTTTGTCTGCTGGAATGAACAGGGAGCACACGGCGCACGACATTGTGCGATGCAGGATTGTTGCTAGGAACTACTCCACAGGTCCCTTTGCGTCACAGCTGGAGAAGCTCTTCTTCGGCATCAGCCTGTTTTTTCAAGGGCAAAATCAAAGCGCTGGTGACAAGTGCCATCAATTCTTGTCACTCAACGAGAAGCTGAAAGAGAAAACCTGCAATCCACAAATGAGTACGAACTCCCCAAGATGGTCGAAATGCGTCCCACACTTTCTCTACTTAATAGTCTCGACCCCGTGGATTGCTAACTTTCCTTTCATGTTCTCAGGATTAGGGCCGGACATGCAGGGGATGATCACATGGATGGCAGCATGTCTGATGGGATTCCCCACCGAATGGGTTAGCTACTGTAGGATCTTAGCTGGGTTACCGGGCAGGGAAAAAACCTAAGTGGTTCGGCATTCCTCAAACATTCACAAATCTTTTCGCTTCATTCAACAGCACTGAAGTTGTCGTGAACCAGACAACGTGGCGCGGACACTATCCGAGAATGATAATTCAGAACAAGCCCGGATATTTACAAAAACAACTAAAAAAGGGCAAGGCGGCGACTGGAAGTCGATAAACGATTTCCGGAGAATGACCTGCAGCACCTTCTCACTCTCTCACCACGTGTGTGTGTGTGTGTGTGTGTAGGTGTGTGTGTGTAGGTGTGTGTGT